ATGTTGATAGCTAATGTTGCAATGACATTCGTCGAAGTGCCGCCGCAATATTCCAAGTGAAAACATTGAAGCAATGTTTTCTCAATGTTGTACATCAACTTGCAACATAAAGCAACATAGGCAACATTTCGGAAACGTTTTATCAACATGCTGTGCTACTTGGATTAATCCCTCGTCTTCGATTCGCTTCGTTGAGGACGTGTAACGTTAGGCTAATCGCAAGCCTATTCAGTTTCTCATGGCCCGCTTAGCAGAGAATGAGTAACTTTAGACCGAATGTTGGCCTTTTTATAGTTTCATAAACCATTTCAGAGCGATTGGGGAAGATTAGGTCTATCCAGAGTTCCTCTATCAATCTCGACTCGTTCCGAGAAGAAAGTGCATTTAAGTGCCTCTTTATAATTTCGGGGTGTCCGGATTAGATATATCCGTATTACACCAAATTGATCGTTTGCTGCAAACCACCGTTTCAATCTTTGCTCCTCCCATAAATTCAGCAGAGAAACCTTCCTTACATTAAAAAGAAAAGATTCAGACAACGATGATAAGGCCGAAGAAGTCATGAGTCTGACAACGCCGACATGATTTCCGGCAACCCTGGATGATGGGACTAGAGCCATTGCGGTGAGCCTACACTAACACAAAGACACACCAAACCATTCACCCATCGCCATTCTTTAAAAATCGTATGCAAAAAAAGTCAAACTATGCATAGAGCGAGGTAAATCACAAACTCTGGCATGCTACACATGGTTGGGCGAGATTTTCATCACCCTGATTAAGGTAATATTCCCGAAACCCAGCAAATCTTCATGTCTACTTAATAAATAACACATATCAAACACAAATGATCATTCCAGTATGAAAGGTCGCATGTACCAAAAGCTGAAGCAGGCATGAATACTTTTACATTAGTTGTTGATGCTGGAAAATAAAGCTGGACCAGGGAATGGGGCTAGCTTAAGTTGTCCTTGTACCTTAATAACATCTGTATGTTCTATTAGGAAACAAAATGAATGCAATAGTATGGTTGCGTTCTGATTATTTTTTATAAGTTGGCACAAGGAAGCACCGTTCAAATACTTTCTTCATGATTCCACGAAGCAGGAGTCATGGTACCAAGATAAGATGGAATTTGTACGGGAAATCATCGGTAACTTCGATGAGGTGTTATTTACTTCGGGAGTGAATTCTTACATTCGGTGGACATTCATTTCAAGATCACTTGCTCACTTCCACAGGAATAGTGAGTATATGAGGTCAGCAAAAATTAGCAAGAGCACGAGTTGGAAAGTCGAGTCTCCAAGTTGGACAAACCGCTGGAGGCTGAAAGAGCATGGACTCAAGCGCGGAAATGCGAGCGGATGTGGCAAAATACCCCCATCCCAAGGTGTGTCTAAGGGAAAGCACCCAAAATATAGCCCGTACTTATGGATTCTTGTTGTTTCGATCACGACTTACTTCAAGGTTTCTTTGCGTCATATTAATTTCGCAATTTGGTTAAAATATGAATTCCCAAATAAATCATTGCAACGCATCGCAATATGGTCAATTATCTTTTATTATGCATTGGTATCATGAATGGGCAACAGTTTAGAAAAAGGATATGAAAAAGAAAGTAAACAAAATGAAAACTTGAGTTTTGAAAACCATGAACAAAACTTACTGATGAAGGCCAAACAGAAACACTATCGAAAATGTAAAAACTTCCGCCCTGTCTCTCTGGGTTTCGTGGGGAAGAAGGGCGCAATGAAAGCGACGATCATCAAACGGTTTGATAGTTCCTGCTATAGTTCTATTGACCACCATAGTGATTCCGCTGCCATAAGGAGAGAATCGAAAAATTCTCGTTAGAAGACCGACGCAAATTGCTTCAGGTGGAGGAGTGAACTGTATGGGGTGAATGACATGGGGTGAATGGTCTCACTAAAAGAGGTACCTTCGTAGGGAGAATGCTTCACTGTCTTATTCGTATTTAATCCTGGACTTCTGCTTCCATACTGAACGAAAGAAAAGGAATTCATCGCTTCAGAATCGCACGAGGACGAATCCAAGAATCACACTCACATATCGCAGGCTCTCGGTATCACTGATGCGTGCAGGAGAAACCTCGGGGTTCATCAGCTCGATATTTGAATTCGGCACAGGTTCCGTAAGGTCTACTTCTTCCAAACCCGTCCTGCTTGCTTTGAGCTCTATTTTTTGCCACAAATCTGTTAAGTATTGATGGAAAGCGAGGGATTTTCTTTCTAACAATATTGCTGCAGGAGAGCCTGAACTTCAAATGTTTATATGAAACTGTCTTTTTTTAATTTACCCAAAAAATGTATTTCAACAGAGATAAGGTCTTCCTTTATAGATTTCATTTTGGGCACAAAAAGATGCGCCACCCTAAGCCCGATGAGTAATAAATCAAGGAAATACTAAATTTCATGTTCAAACGTTCCAGATTCATGTTTATATTATAATTCATATTTTAGCTCATCATCTAAGTTCAAAGAAAAATTCGTTCTCTCAAGGTGAATTCATTTTGAATCTAGGAGGATTTTCGGCCGCTTTCGAACGAATTGCTGAGTTCACTTTAACACGTTCTAAAACACATGTTGCTGCTTTATTACATGGTTCTCGTTAACTTTCCAGATTCGAAACGACCAACGAATCAAAGTTATTTGCAACAAACATTGGACTAATTGAATAATGAAATGGATGACATAATGGTTCAAGCGAATCTGTTCTCACCGGGAGAAGGACTTGTAGGGGTTTTGAATCTACTGATTTCCCTGTGGTGGATTCTCCGAGCGATGAAGACCATGAGCGTGAGGATTATGAGGACGAGAAGGAATATCACAGACACGAAGGCGATGAATCCATCGCTGCTGAAGCTAGAGTGCGCTAGCAATTCAAGAGTGAAAGGCTTCTCACAGTCCTTGCCTGGAAAAATTAAGAAACTTCAATATGAGATTGAAAAAGAAGCAAAATCGCAACATCCTCATTTCTTCCATGCATGCACAACAGACCTGCGTATCCTTCTTTGCACGTGCAGCCAACCGTGTGGTTACAGTAGAAGTTCTTATTGGGGCATTGGCATTGTTGGGTGCATTCGTCTCCAAAATATCCGTCAGAACAAACTATAATAAATATTAATGATTGAGGTCCAAAAAGTGCAATATTGCCCAATTACATGGAAATGGAGATATACGGCCTTACCTGCCTCACAATGACGTCCAACCCATCCAGGAAGACACTTGCACCTGCCATCGGTGGCGTTGCATTTGCCGCCATTCCGACAAGTGCAGTTCTGAAGACAGCGAAGGCCAAATGTTCCTTCGAGGCAAGGTTTCTCGCACATATCACCTCTCCACCCAGGCAGACAGAGGCAGTCACCTGCATATAAATAATTCCTTATTAATTAAACCCCAATCACTTGATATGTATTTAAGTGTTGGAAGATGTAAATAAGACGGACCATTGATATGACTACAGCCAGAGTGGTTTTCGCAGGTGCAGTTTTGTTGGCAATCATTCCCAAACTGTCCGATTGGACATACCTCATCACAAGTCCGGCCGATGTAACCAGGCTGACACGTGCATCGGCCAGTCACATGGTGACACGCTTCTATTGCTGAATAATGGAGTAATATTAGTTTCATTCTTAATTCCGAAAAATAATTCCAGCTCCAGAGTAAAACAGTGAGAACAATGAGAAATTCAATTTTCTTAAAGAAAAAGGTGTTTTCCGTCAACATGGTGAAATAATAATGCTCTGAATTCCGTCCATTTAATAATGATCGTCTGCCTGGGATGTCTTAAGAGGATAGTCATTGACTGAAATTGAAAACTGATATAACAAAAATACCTGCAGTCCCTTACGGCATATCGAGCTAGAGTTGGGTCGGATTCATGACGGCCTGTGCTTTCCAATTGGTACCAGGGTCCTTTTTCTTATTTTTTTTACCGTGATACATTCGTGTGCTGAGTTCATGCGATTAAGTGAGATCGAAATGGTTTTAAGCGGTGGTCGTTCAATGTGGTGCATTGTGATGCAACGCGCAAGAACGTCACTGAATCCGCAAATAGCTTCTGAAATGGTTCGTGAAAGGTAGAACTGGTCCTTAATCAAATTAATTAATCCAGTAAATCGAGGGATTAGATCCCTATGAGAAAAGAGAGGTTGACCTAGGCAAACCTAAAGGCAATCCATAATTGAGTCCCGTAGAGGGGGAAGATGAAGGGAAAGAGGATGTTTGTCTAAGAAAGGTGAAAGCCGTTTCAAATTTGCGAATTACCATGAGCGATTCCTTCTCTAATTGAAATAAATTTAAATAAAAGCAGACCCTGACCCCCTTCGTTCTAGCGTACGTTCAATTGAACGTAGGAAAAATGACACCTCCTACCGTGGGAGCAGTCCAAACAGGTCTCCTTGCAATCTCCTCCGTAGGAACCAGAGGGACACGGTTCGTCGCAGCTCTTACCCGTCCATCCGCTATCACAGACGCATTTCTCTGTTTGCGGATGACACGAAGAATTGTTGCCGCATTTGCAACGGTCGTTGCATGGATCGCCAGCTTGACCGTTTTCGCATTGATGCTCACATCGCACACCTGCACAGAAATGATGTCATGCAAAGCAAGCGGCCAGCTAGTCCGGAATCGCGTTTTAAGGGTGCATAGAAGAGTTCTGGACATAGACCGAACCGATTTTGGAGGTTGTTTCTTCAACGTGTATTTTTTTTTCTGCTCGAAGCATTGAATTTCTCTAAACTAACTTTAAGGAATTATTGCAGTCACACCAAGTAGGACAACAAAGATGAAGAGCCGTGCATTGGAGAGATCAGGATCCATTATTAAAAATGTTTTACTTTCTTCAACTCTTGGTTCCATTAGACAAGCTCTTTGGACAAGAAAGATAAATATGAACTAGATATCATCACCTTCAGAAAGGTTTTATTCGTGCATGAGGGAGTCAACATTTTTTTACATAGATACAATGAAATTAAATCTCTCCGTAATAGAATGCCTTCCAATTAAAATAAGTAATCACGAAACAATATGAGGACATCACCATAATAATCTGGTTTGCAGCTGCAGAAACCCGTTTTTGGATCACAAACTTCAGTGGAGTCTGGCACGCATTCACATGCTTGTGAGCAGTTTACACCAAAGCTCATGAGCTCGCAAGTGTCCTCACATCGTGGTCCCTGACAGAGTGAAAACGTGTAAAAAACGGTGATGTTTGATGCTTACAGCGAAACTACGCATATGAGGGAAAGAAATCGTACCTTGAAACCAGAAGCACACGTGCAAGCACCTGTGGTGTGATCGCATGTGGCATCGTTGTAGCATGAACAGTTCTCCATGCAGTTCAGTCCGTAACTGCCAAGGGGACACGTGATGTTGCAGTGCTGTCCTTCCCAACCTGCACCGAGGTTAGAAAATTATCTGAGTGGATTTGTCTTTGAAGAACGAAATTTAGGAATGAAGCTTGAAAGAGACTTTAAAACTGGTTTGCAAATGCACTGTCGATTGTCATGCAAGAAGATGTCATCGTTTTCATATTCGCATGTGTATGTACAATTCAGACCAAACTTCCCAAACTTTGAAACACGAAAAACCTATAGGATCCTATAAGATCATGATAGTGTCTTAAAGGACTCCTAACCGATAGGATTCGGGGAGGATTTCTTGGGTTTCGAAAAGCAGGCAATACGACGGAAAAGGCAACCGGGGTCAATATTGGCGCAGTTTTTTGGTGTAAATTAATTACAGATCAAGAGTTTTCCCATGATAGGGCACTTACATTACCAATACTAGTACTGCCCAGGCCCACATATGCCGCTAGATTGCGAGCCCACTTCTTTCAGTAGAGAGAAATATTCTTCTCTCGCGGCCTAAGGAAACAGAAGACAGAACCTGCGAATAGGTCTCTTTACAGAAACTCCATTTGGATAGGGTCTACTCAGTTTCCTACGTGGTTTTCAAAAGGAATAAGGGCATTTTTCTTCACGGGACTCCATGATTATATCTGGCCGATGGTGATGACAAATAAGGAACTGTCGAAGTTTATTGATTGCTACAACGAGGCAAGGCGAGACATTTGGGGACATACAAAACTCTCTTGCGAGAGATGATTCCATGGGTAAGGGGAGGACACTTTTGTGTCCTTTGAGAAATGCGAGGACCCAATACCGCCATCTAATGGCCTAGAGGAGAACTTCAAACGGAACGCTATAGATCCTATAGGTTCCAAAGGGAGACCTATAGGTCCTATAGGGAACCTTATCGGTTCAATGGGGAACCCCATAGGTCCCAAACTGAACCCTATGGGGGCTATAAAAACCAATAGAATGCTTATATGTTCATTTAGGATTCCGATATGATTCCAATATATTCCTAAAGGAATCTAAAGAAATCCTATAAGGCATTTTTGTATGGGTACCCTATGTAACCAAGGCATGAGAGGTGGAGATTTCGAGAGTAAAGATCTCAGTCCATTCATCCAAAAATACAGGCTTCGAGGAAGATGATGCAAATTCGCGAACTTACCAGGGATACAAACGCAAGTGCCATCCACGTGATTGCAGGAAGCATTATTATTACATTCGCATACGAATTCACAGTTTTTTCCAAATGAATAAGTTGGACATGCAGTGGCACAAGTTGTACCATTCCAGCCTGGCAGGCACAAGCATTCTCCTGTCCATGGGTGACACATTTCAGTGTTGTCGAATACGCAATCACAAATTGTGGAGCAGTTGAGGCCATATAGGTGATTGGAACAAGAACGTTCATTACAGTATTGGCCAGTCCATCCATCGTTGCATGTGCAGTTGCCATCGATGGGCGAACATGTTCCTCCGTTCTCACACAAGCATTCTACATCGCAATCTTCACCATACGAGCCAGGTCGGCACTGCATCTTGCACTGGAAAAAAAAAATATTTCTCGGTTTTCATTCTGAAAAGTTACAATTACTTGTAGAATAAGGAGTTTTTAATGAGTAGTTGCTAAAAAATTGCAAACCATTGTCGTGAAACTGGCAAAACTGAACCTTCATATATACCTGTAGCAAATCCCAAACAAAACGTCCAACTGTATCCACCAGTCAGAAGCAGCAGGTGGGTAGGAGGTAGATTTAGAGCCAGGTGGATGTACGTCCATGCAACTTAACTACCTTTTCGTTCCTGGAAGGGTTTTCGCAAGGCTTGGGGATCTTCCCTTCATGCTGAATTTTTCATTAAGTGGTCTTCGCTCCAAAAGGTGGAAATACGCCTGAAGGGACGTCCACCTGGTCCCAAATCCAACTCACAAGTTGACGTTTCGTAAGTGGTAATAACAATGAAATAATCAATATTGCCGGCAAACATTCTGAGAATTAGAAAACGCACATTTGGAAAGTTACATTTAAAGTGATAAGTGATGACAATATTTTGAAACACAATAAAACCTGTTTTCCTCCAAATCCAGGAGTACACGAGCAGCTGCCATTTGATGGATTGCAAATACTGTCATTCTGACAGTCGCAATGATAGTTGCATTCAAGTCCCCAGCGGTCACTCGGGCATGATTCTCCACAATCGTCGCCCTGCATGTATTAAATGCAACATCTGTATATCCCTTAGGACTTCCTTGAGCATCGAATAATTTCCATTCACACAACAGACCATCCAACCTTCCGTGCAGGTACAATTTCCTGTGATTGGGTCACACGTTCCTCCATTTTGACAATACCTGCAAAATTATTTTTTTCACTTGGACGAGTACTTTCCTAACAGCGCAGAAACATATCATATTCAACTCAACTTTAGTCCAAAACAATGTATTTTCTCGGAGTTACGAGTTCGTATTGAGAAGCAGTGCACAAAAATCTATAAACTTTATTAAGGGTCGACGACATTTGTGACCGCGAGCGTCCAAGTGACTATATGCCGCGACCATATAATTCGGAAATGCACTTTCCGAGAGACATGGTCTCAAAAATGTTCTGACATGGTCTCCATATGGCCATCTCCCTCCAACAATATCACCATAGTTAGATATATCAGACCACAAGGCAGATCGCCACATTTTGAAACAATAGCAAGGAAGAATAATACGGTGATTGCTCATTTTGTTCTGTGGTAATTTGGATATATGTGAAGGCATATCAAAATGGTTTAGACGGAAGTTCGAAAAGACATTTAAAAAATCCTCACGAGTTTCCGAAATTCTATCCGAAACTGTTTCCTACAATTCAACTTCTTTCCACCCCTTTTCCCTGGTGATTTGGGTCTGACTTCAAGACTATAACACGGCTTGGGAGGTTAGGATGTTCCATTGCAGTGTTGATTATCTGACTCATACGCCTTCCGGGATAAAAGTCACTTGGTATAATCGTTTAAGCAATCATGTTCATTCAAACATTCGCTGTTCAGTTAAAGAATAACTTGATCCATATTCATTCTCAGAAGTAAGATATAGAAATAGAACGGCTAAAACGCATAAAGGCCAGATGCATCTCCAGAGCTACATACCGGAAAGAGAGAAATTCCATTTGGTTTCAATTGCTTCCTTCCAAGATGACCAAGATGTGATGAACATGAATGAAAGGACATATTGGTTGGTCATCAAGCAGCTCCAATCGAGAACCTCGGGGATCCTCTGACAAACCTCGTCAAACAACTGTCAAGCGCCTCAGAAAAAAAGGGCGCCAGGCATAAGAAATCTTTAAATGAAAAAATACCAATGCTCAAGACTAAGTTTTCCCGCCTTTCGACCATATCGGTATTTAGGTGTACAGCCTAATTAAAGCTTCGACACTTAATTCAGTCTGCTTCCTCGGTCAGCCTAACATGCCAGGAATATTATATGGAACTAGGGAGTCGTTCCCCAATCGAAAGGGATTTCCGATTGAAGTCAGTCTTTACATGCCATCGACTCCCACTTACAACAAGGTTTGCCAAACCTTGCAGTAAATTACCTCTCAATTTGTTCACATTTCCTATAAGGCCTTGTCCCTACGTATCGGGAGATTGGCCTTTTAATAGGCTACTGAAAGCTCTCACCATGCTAAAAGAATGGAGAACGCGAATGAAACTCAACAGCCAGTGTCGCAATTCCTGAATATATCACCCTAATCTGAGGTCATATATAAGGCCGAAACCTTACTACTAATAAAATGTATTAATTCAACACCCTAGAGGCATTTTACGAAGCTCTCCATGTTCTTGCAGAAACTAGAACGTAGAAACTAGAAACTACGTATGAACGTAGGACACTTCAAAGTTACTGAAAGAGAAACCTTAGAGGCAAGACCATAATACAGCAGTCTTTGAAATATAGAAAACATTGTTGTGAATTATTTATATTTTGAGAAATCTGGAATGTTGTGAAGAAGGAACACTCTAAATCACATGCTGAGGAATATTAATATTTTAATTTTGCATTAAAGGAAATTAAAATGAAAGTCCTCTCCTTCATCGTGACAACTGTATTTCGTGCTGTCGTCGGCTTTCTTGCAGTTTTTACTTTAAATTGTTCAAAGAAAACTCAAAAGATTTTCCCAAATATGGCAGAAGGAAAACAGAAAAAGAAGCTTTTTAAAAATTGATAAATTACAATAATAAGTTTTTCTCACATGAAAATAGTTTTCTTCCGCTTCGCAGGAAGCTTAGCTTAGGCATGATGCTTTGCTTCGGAATGTGCTATATTCGCCTTGCTCTTCCAGGGAGAGAAGAAATTTGCATTCATCCTTCCGAATCGCCTGCTTTTCAGGGATGCAGTAGGACTTCGCGAATGCCTTCTCAACATGGGGGATTCGGCGATCTTCCAGATGGTGAAACTGTGAATGGCATTGGGTGTGTGTGGGTAATGAAGGGAATCCAGTCGAAGTGGGTAGATCTGGAGCAGCTCGGCTCAGGACATGAAAGGCTACATTTTATCATGAATTAATTAAAATAGTAAATATGAACGCATTTTTTCATTCCAAGAATGACAGCGAAATGCACATTACTCTTTTCTCGCGGTCACCGATGAAGTAAGTAATGAAATAGAAGAACAAAAGGTTTATAAATTACTATTAATCGATGAGTAAACCTGTGCGAAGATATTGATTTAGGACGAGCGCCTCTTGAAAAAATATTTGAGTGCCCCATTGGCAAATTGAAGTAATGCTGAATACATTGTCAAGTCATGATCACCAGTGTCATGACGTGGCCAATCGAGTATGGGACAAAAAATGGGAGACTAATAATAAAAACTCCCGATTTGACTTTGGCCATTGTCAATTTACTATAATAATGTCTAGAATGAAGCAAGATGAGCCTAGAGCGATGCAAAGAAACGTCTAGATGCGTTATTAGTGGAAAAATAAATTGATATAATTCCCATAAAGTTTATGTATCTGAAACCTGACACATAATTTTGTTTTCAGTTGCTGACGAGGCTGAACTGATGAAATAGAAAAAGTCTGTTCCAGGATAATTACCCCTGATGCGTACTAGAGGCTGAAGGAAGCGTGAGTTCACCCTGCTACTTGATGTTACTGAAAACAAAAGTCTTGCATGAAGTACCAGTGCTTCCATGCTTGTATTAGAACGCCATACGCTGATTTGGCATGTAAACATGTTCGTTACAGGCCATCTGTATGGTTCCCAATAATTTTTGTGCAGGGAAAGTGCTATATTCACATCTGGACGATGAAGGCATGTGAATTGAATATGAATAATGCCTTCATGCATGAAAATATAGTCCATAGTGTCGAGCTCTTCTATTTCTCTACTGAACTCGGTATCAAGATCCTCAGGCGGTAATTATTTGGACAATCGCTTGAAATACAAATTCCTGAAGCAATAACAGCTGCTCATCACATATGATTATTTATTTATTCATCATCATAAAAATGGCAACAGTGAAGAAAGGAGGATGTGTAAAAGAAGTATAACAGGAAGGAAAACTCGATTTGCAAAAGAAAACATGACATCCGAACATACCAATGAAAGCAGAAAAGAGACATGACCGAAATTAATGAAGGTACTTGAGGCTGGCCCCTCAGGACTTAACGATATGAGGAAGAGGAGGCGATGAGAGCGACATGGGTCAGACGCACAGATCAGCATGGCCATCGTTCGAGTGATCGTTTTTATGACAGACTGGATTGAAATCTTTAAAATTCTTGTAATTTCCACGAACTACGGCACGGCGTACTTACCACGAGGTGATTGTCGCTGATTTCGACCTGCTTTCCTGCTTTGGCAAGGGATGAAAGGAAAGAAGTATGTCATCGCAATACGGTCCGATGAGGAAGAAGCAGAAAATCTCGCTCACGTCAGTCTCAGTGTTGGGGATTTGAGGAAGAAAATACTCGTCGTTTTCTCCGCCAATCTTGGAATTTAATTTTGTATTGGCATGGTCGGCTTCTTTCTTCGTTTTGCAATCGATGAGCTCTATTTTTGGGCACACATCTGAAAATATGCATGGAAAAATGTGAGATTATCCCCTCAGGAATGTTCTTGCCAAAGGGACTTGGCCTTGAAATGAAAAAATTGAGTTTTTGCATATTTCTCATAACAAAACATTTATCTAATTTATTTGAACATTTATCTGCTTGGTGACATTTCAATGATTGGTCATGTAATTACCGGTGGAAAGGAAATACATCACATTAAAAAAACGAAAAAGTTCAAGGAAAAAAAAGAAGTGCAATAAATGACATAATACCTACTCGACATAAGTTTCTAACCCAATTCCATTTCCAGTTCTTAATACTAGTACAGATTTAAATGTACAAACAATTTTCATTTAATACTGTTGACATAAAATTATGATGAAAAATAGCAAATAACTATGATTCCAAAAGAATAGGTACTAATCTGAATGAAAAATACAGTTCCTTCAGAATGATGAGCTGGCATGCTTACAAACGTTCAGGCAAAATTTGTCATAATTAAAACTTAAAACATAGTGCTTGAAATGTTATTGGTATTCGGTAAAGTACCGGCCATGAAATTCCCACTGATTCAGAGATTAAATCATGATGATCAGCAATAACATTATGAAAGGGACAAGAAGAGTCATTTGAAAAATTACTCACCGGGTGAAGGAGCGACGGGGATTTGGACTCTTTTGGCCTTGTACTTCATACGACGTTGTCTTTGCGCAATGTAAACAGCGACCCCGATGAGGACGAGAACTGTCACGCTAATGGCAGCAATGAGCCCTGGGCCGTTCGAGCTAAAAAACGACAGGGACTCGAGAGCGATGGGAGTCTCGCAGTCATTGCCTGGATACGGGATGAAATTCGAAGATGAGAAGAGGAAAGATCGTGGCTTCCTAATTTCCGCTTTGAAACAGACCTGTGAATCCCGCTTTGCATATGCAGCCTGCTGCGTGATCACAGAGAAAGTTCTGTTTGGGACATTGGCATTCCATGGTGCACAGCTCTCCGAAGAATCCCTCGGGACAAACTATTCAATAGTCACTGATGATGAAAGTTCGAAAAAGCGCTACACCGCATTTTTTTTTAGCAAGAAATATAAAAGTGCCCTACCTGCCTCGCACTCAAGACCCACCCATCCGGGGAGGCACTTGCACTGGCCATCGGTAGCATTGCATTCAGCGCCGTTCTGACAGGTGCAATTTTCAAGACAGTGTAGGCCAAAAGTTCCTTCGAGGCAAGGTTCCTCGCACATCTCACCTCTCCATCCAGGCAGACAGACGCAGTCTCCTGCGAAAAAAAGCACATTCGTGGTTAATAAGCCCCAACCTCAGGGTATTTATGAGACGGAGCATGCAAGCATGACCGACCAGTGATGTGATGACAGCCAGAGTGATTTTCGCAGGTGCAGTTTTCTTGGCATTCGTTCCCGAACTGTTCGATTGGACAGGTCTCGTTGCATGTCTGCCCGTTATAACCAGGCTCACACTTGCAATGGCCAGTCACGTGGTGACACGTTCCAATCGCTGAATGATGCAGTAGAAAGAATTGCGTCCTCGATCGCGGAATGTGTCAAGGGTGAAGGCAGGAATAGTACAATTAGGGAACGTCAAGAAAGTATATTTTTCCGTGGGAATGGTGCTTCTTCTCACGATACACCATTCGCCTGTACCGTATTGTATTCCTCGCATTGCAAATTATGAATAGTAAAGTCTGGCATATTTTATGGCTAGGGAAAGTTGGCACTTAAGGCTTCATTCTCACGATATGGGGGGCTGAATCATTTTCAATAAATACACCTACCGGTATATAGACCCTTACGAAAATGTCGTATAGGATTCCCATATATTCATTTAGGAATATATAGGAATCCTATTGGAACCTAAATGAATCCAATAGGTTCCTATAGGTCCCATAGGGTTCAGTTTTGAACATATATGGTTCCCTATAGAACCTATGAAGTTCCCTATAGAATCTATAGGGTTCCATATAGGGCCTATACAGAATCCTATAGGTCAATAGGGTTCCGTTTGAAGTTCTCCTTTAGGCCACTAGATGGAAGTATTGGGTTCTCGCATTTCTCAAAGAACACAAAAGTGCCTTCCCCTTACCCATGGAATCATCTCTCACAAGAGAGTTTTCTACATCCCCAAATGTCTCGGCTTGCCTCATTGTAGCAATCTATAAACTTCAACACTTTCTTATTTGTCATCTCCATCTTCCAGATAGAATCATGGAGTCTAGGCCAGAAAAATGTCCTTATTCCTTTAGAAAACCACGTACGAGAATGAGTAGAACTTACCTGTATTAAGATTCAGTAAAAACATGTGCTCGCTTTGTGTTCTGTTTCTTTATGTCGAGAGAAAAATACTACTTCTCCCTACCGAAGGAAGTGGACGCGCAATCCAGCGTCATATGTGGGGCGGGCCAGTGCTGGTATTAATAACGTAATTGTCCCTGCCATTGGAAAATCCCCAATCGGTATTTGATTTACACCAAAATGCTGCGTCGATATTAACCAAGGTCGCCTTTCCCGTCGTAATGCCTGGGTTTCGAAACCCAGTATATCCTCCCCGAATCCTACAGGTCAAGAGACCTATGAGACCTTATAGGGAACCTATAGGATCCTAGAGGTTTTTCGTGTTTGAAAAACCTATAGGAAAGTCTATAGGTTTCCTATAAGATATTTCCGTAAGGGGAACGTGACTCTTTCGGAATTTTTAAACAATTTTCTTACAATTTCGTGATTTCTTCTCAAATATTAAAACAATTAATAGAACCTGACCTGACACACATGCAGCAAGTAGCTGTCCTACATTTGGAATTAAATAGGCAAAGAAAAGGAATGGTAATACCATGATGGCATTCTGGACAACGCTCTTTGCAATCCGGTCCATGAAAACCAGGGGGACAGGGTTCATCGCAGCTGTGGCCAGTCCATCCGTTATCGCAGACGCATTTCATAGTAAGTAGATGACAGGAAGAGTTGTTGCCACATTTGCAACGGTCGTTGCATATATCGCCAGCCAGACCGTTTCCGCATCGATGCTCACATCGAACACCTGCAGAAGAATATTTCTAAAATCCCAGTGGTTAAGGGAATAGACTCACAAGCGTTTCGCTTATGGACCTAGACTGATCGCGAAGGTTTACTCGGAAAACGGAATTTTTTAGTAAATTGCATTTCTTGAATGTATTCAATGTGACTTCCAAGAAATGAATAATGCCCGCGAAATGAAGAAAGCTATGGAAATTATTGTAAAATAGTATATTGGATTTACGAACTATTAGATATTCCAGCATCTCCATAGGTGGATGCGAATGATCATAATGGTGTTAATAATTGACTTTAAAATGTTTCCAAATGGAAAGTAAACTATTGATACTTCCTTCATTTCATATTAAATTAAATTGACCACTAACGATAAAATTATATGAAAATTACCATATGCGCCTTGCTTGCAGTGGCAAAAACCTGCCCTTGGATCACAAACTTCAGTGGTGTCCGGCTCGCACTCACACACGTGAGAGCAGTTGAATCCAAATCTCATGAGCTCGCACGTATCTTCACAACGCAATCCCTGGCATTGTGAAGACGATAAACATCTAGCCCGTACACGTCATTGCTTCATAGAAATAGATAAAAAGGAAACAAACAGGAGCAAAAGAAATCGTACATTAAAACCAGGAGCACACGTGCAAGCGCCTGTGATGTGGTCACACGAGGCCTCGTTGTAGCACGAACATTCCTCTTCGCAGTTGAGGCCATAACTGTCAAGAGGGCACTTGGTGTCGCAGTGTTGTCCTTGCCAACCTGTGCCGAGGTTTAAAATTTGTCATGGAATTCCAATAATATTCGGGAGACTTGGGATGTTATTGAAAAAAAAAGATATAAGTGCAACGATTTCTCGACCTGGTTGACAAAGGCACTTTCCGTCTTCATGCAAGCATAAGGCATCGTTTTCGCATTGGCATGTTTGCGCACAATCCTGTCCAAACTTTCCTCTTGGACACTCATCTTCACATAATGATCCCATGTAACCTAAAGCGATAGAGACTTTTAGTGGATGTAATATATATAATGGAGCATCCAAATGAGCAGGTTCCAAAAGCAGCTAAGCAACTTACCAGGGTTGCAAACACAAGAGCCATCCACGTGATTGCAGGAGGCATTATTCTTGCATTCGCACACGAATTCACAGTTCTTCCCAAATGAATTTGACGGACAAGGAGTGGCACAAATCGGACCATCCCAGCCAGGCAGACATAAACATTCGCCACTCCATGGGTGACACATTTCAGTGTTGTCCAATACACAATCACAAGCATTGGAACAGTTGAGTCCATAGAGGTGATCGGGGCAAGAACGTTGATTGCAGTATTGGCCAGTCCATCCATCCTTGCATATGCATGTGCCGTCGATATGCGAGCATGTCCCTTCATTCTCACACAGGCAAACGCCATGACAATCCTCGCCGTAACGACCACTTGGGCATTTTAACTCACACTGGAAGGGAATAATTAATTTTTTTAAATTTAATTAGGTCAAGATCAAGGTCAAAGCGTGCATTGATTGAAATAAAGTCGAACCTGTTCTCCACGATAGCCAGGGGAGCAATGACAAGAGCCATTCAACGGACTGCAAATCCCCTCGTTCAGACATGTACATTCATTCCTGCATTGAAGCCCCCAGTGGCCATTTGGACATGGTTCTTCGCAAAATTCGCCCTGTATGGAAAAATGACAGCATGTCTATTCCATGGGATGTACTGTATGCGAAGGCTAATATTGAGTTCTGCTTCATTTGCTGCAGAAGACATACGATCCAGCCTGTCGTGCAGCTGCAGTTTCCTGAGATGTGGTTGCATACTCCATCATTCTCGCAGGCGCAAGAGTATGCGCAAAATTCGCCGTATGTGCCGATCGGACAACGATCTTCACAACTTCAAAGGAAGGAAAGAGATACAGTGCTGAGAAACTTTTCGAGAATGGTCTACAGCCAGAAGCATGCGAACGATCTCTGGGTTCTTGGCATCATTCTAAAGCTAGTTTTTCCCTCCTGCCTGGCTTTATTGTTGATGTTGAAGAAAACTAGTCGTGGACCATATGCGCACGAATGCGTTGCTTGAGGCCATTAAAAGTGAGGGTGCCATTGTTGCCAGGAAGTGCATGTTCGGGCGAATAGGGTCCAGCACTCATTTCTTCCCAAGAACACCAAGAAGGCAGGTCGTGATGGTTTCACTCGTATCCAGTGAGTGGAAGAAAATAAATTTAGAAAGCTTCCAAAAAAAAATTAAGTTGGTTAAGTATTTTTTGCTGTAGACTATGATGACATGTTTCTTGGCTCCAGTATGCAATCCGTGACCTTCAAGAAAATATGATTCAAATTCCCAGGAGGAGATTCAGCCTTGAATAGAAGTGCATTCGCAATGCATGAAGTAAAATGAAACTGTATTTTCGATGAGAAATTTCGTTTCCTTCAATAGACAAACCATTATGAAACACAAATTGATTGTCAGAACAGCATTAATTATTGACACTCGAAGGTATGGCATATATATATGAAAAGGACTTACATTGGTCCGGTCCAGCCTGCGGCGCAAGTGCAATTTCCAGTGACATGGTTGCATTTCGCCCCATTTTGGCAAAGGCAACGAGACGAGCATCCCTCGCCAAATGTTCCTTCCAGGCAAGGCTCGGCGCAACTAAGCAGGAAAACGAACGTCTTGTTCCGCATTTTGCCCATTAACTTCTTGCACGAAACTTCCGAAATGGCAACTCACGTGGATCCATGCCAACCAGGAGAACATGTGCATTTCCCGGAGATGTGGTCACATTTCGCATCGTTCTTGCAAGGACATGCAGATGCACAGCTTACTCCATAGGAACCCGTTGGACAGGGACTTTCGCAACTGATGAAAAAAAAAATATTCCTTTTTCCCCTGCATATTGCAGAAAAGTAAGGCACTCCTCTTCGAATCCTCTTTTTAATGAAAATGACTTACACTGGTCCGGTCCAGCCAGCAGCACAAGCGCAATTCCCATCGACATGGTCGCATTTCGCCTCATTTTGGCAAAGGCAACGAGACGAGCATCCCTCGCCAAATGTTCCTTCCGGGCAAAGCTCGGCGCAACTAAGCAGGAAAACGAACACGACATTTCACATTTTGCACATAAATTACTATCCGGAAGATTCGAAAGATGCAACTCACATGGATCCAGTCCAACCAGGAGAACAAGTGCATTTCCCGGAGATGTGGTCACATTTCGCATCGTTCTTGCAAGGACATGCAGATGCACATTACATTCCATAGGAACCCGTTGGACAGGGCTTTTCGCAACTATCCAGAAAAAAAAACAAAACAAAAAAGGATGTCCCATTTGCACGCTTACAGCGGAAATGTTAGTATCTCCTCCTGAGTCATGAAATGAAAAGGACTTACACTGGTCCGGTCCAGCCTGCAGCACAAGTGCAATTTCCAGTGACATGGTCGCATTTCGCCCCATTTTGGCAGAGGCAACGAGACGAGCATCCCTCGCCAAATGTTCCTTCCGGGCAAGGCTCGGCGCAACTAAGCAGGAAAACGAACGTCTTGTTCCGCATTTTGAGAATTAACTACTTTCACGAAACTTCCGAAATGGCAACTCACGTGGATCCATGCCAACCAGGAGAACATGTGCATTTCCCGGAGATGTGGTCACATATCGCATCGTTCTTGCAGTGACATGCAGATGCACAGCTTACTCCATAGGAACCCGTTGGACAGGGACTTTCGCAACTGATGAAAAAAAATATATTCATTTTTCCCCTGCATCTTGCAGAAAAGTAAGGCACTCCTCTTCGAATCCTCTTTTTAATGAAAATGACTTACACTGGTCCGGTCCAGCCAGCAGCACAAGTGCAATTCCCACCGACATGGTCGCATTTCGCCTCATTTTGGCAAAGGCAACGATATGAACATCGCTCCCCAAATGTACCTTTCGGGCAAGGTACGGTGCAACTAAGCAGGAAAACGAACACGTCATTTCACATTTTGGACATAAATTACTATCGAATGGACATAAATTACTTTCGAATCCGGAAGATTCGAAAGATGCAACTCACATGGATCCAGTCCAACCAGGAGAACAAGTGCATTTCCCGGAGATGTGGTCGCACTTCGCATCGTTCTTGCAAAGACATGCAGATGCACATCTCATTCCATGGGTATCCTTTGGACAGGGCTCGTCACAACTATCCAGGAAAAAAAAAAACAAACAAAAAGAGATGTCCCATTTGCACGCATACAGCGGAAACGTTATTATCTCCTCCTGAGTCTTGAAGTGAAAATGACTTACACTGGTCCGGTCCAGCCTGCAGCGCAAGTGCATTTCCCTGTGACATGGTCACATGTTGCAGAATTCTTACATCTGCACGTTTGTTGGCATTTGATGCCGTACATGCCTGCTCCGCAAGGTGTTTCGCAATATTTTCCTATCCATCCTATATTGCAGCTGCAACCTCCAGACCAAGGATCGCATTTTGCCTCATTTTTGCAATTGCATTCGTTTTTGCAACCGTCTCCCCACTTCCCAGCCCGACAAGCTATTTGCGAAAGGAGTGAACCATGATTCAGATCACACTTTACTCTCGTGAGTTTTTACAATTTCTCGTGTAGCACCACATCTCGAACGTTTGATGCGATGGCGAAAGGCTTTCATAGTTTTCTCACCTGATTCGCAAATCTTTCCTTCGAAGCCAGCGCCGCACTTGCACGAGTTTGGCTTCTCGCAAAATCCATTGATGCACGCGGGATGGCACACCGGCTTGCATTCTTCTCTCGACTCCGAATATCCACTGCAGCAGGTGTCGACTTTGACTGACACTGTTCTTCGCTGGATGATATTAATAGAATCAAATTGGCGGATTTTCTTTGGACTAGATTTTGTCGCAGTGTTACATTCCTTCTCTTATTGCCAAGGAATCGTCACCAAGGACTTGAGCATTTCAGCTAATTTCCTAGCATGCAGCTTTAATTCCTGCGCCCAATCACCGTTAGTTATGTTGTCGAAACTGGATTTATGTGTTTCGCCACGTTATCTGTACGCATCATACTTTTCTACACGACCTCCATTGCGTTCCACACGTTTTCCCAATCGCTTCAGCGTAAAATCGAAGTTCGTTTTGATTTGATGAATCTGCCTAAGGCGATTATTACCGCCCCAATGTTTCAAATAGCAATATCTTGCAAGTCATCTTTCTTCCTGCACGCCATCGAAATTCAAATCAAATTAGTGATTCACATTTGGATTTGTCTTTCTTAATCTGATATATATAGACGAACGTGACTGACTGACTGACGCTAATTCTAACCATGTTCTAGAAAGGTAAGAAATCTTAAACTTGGTACACATGTAACTTATGGGATGCAGAGTTCAGAAAAAATCCAACATTGGAGGTACATGCCCTGTGGATACACATTTTGGGGGGGAAACGTTTTTCTTAAATATAAAGTGTGACAGATGAGGATGGCATTCAGAGAGCAAACTGAATGTCATAGATTCGGTGGCGTAGTACGTGGTAGTAGCATAACTGACCAACAATCAGGAGGTCGGGGTTCAATTCCCGGCCATTACTTGGCTTTCTTTTGGCTTGTATTGCCTTCCATGTCCCGTTACTCATTCCCCCTCCATAACATTACTTTCTTCCTGAGTAAAACAGAGAGTCATGAAAAGCTGAATACTGGCATGGACGAGCCTACCGAGATGATGAGTTCAGGAAAAATGTAAATGTAAGTTCTATGCCCTGCGGGGGCATATTATTAGGGGCCGACGTTTTCATGTATTTTTTTTGCCCTGGCTCATTGGGCTGGGGTGGAAAGATGAAACTTGACACGTATCTACCTATTGGGATGCTGCATGCAAAAATTCAGATTTGGAAGTAAATGCCCCGGGGGCACAAATTTCAAAGGGAGATGTTTTCATATCATTTTTTTGCATGAGTTAAAATGATGAACTTAGGAAGCTGAAACTTTGCATGAATGTGGCTACTGAGACAAGAAGTAAAAAAAAATGTTAAGTCTAGATACATCCCCTAGGGAATTTTTTCGTGGGGCGATGTTTAAAATAACAATTTCGCTAGGCGAATTGCACCGAAATGGAAAGGTGAAACTTGGCACACCTATGATTGACAATATCGACTTGAGGGAGTATTCAGCTTTCATGGTGCATCCCCTCCGGGCATATCTTTTGGGTGGGCCGGCTTTTCCAAGCAAGTTTTTCCACCAGCGAAAACGGCAATCGTTGAAACATTCTGGGCATGCAGTTCTCTGAGGATTGATTTCGGTAAAAAAAAAAAAAACGTACTTTTCTGTTAAAACGCCTCAGGGCACATGTTTTGCAAAAGTCTTCTTTTTTCGATCCAGTAAAACGGAGGGCGCTAGAAAGTTTATTATTGGTAAAGAAGAACCGGATGGATAGCTGTGTAAATAAAAAATTATACTTTTATTATATACAGGGTATATAAGATCGTGAGTAGCTGACTGAATGACAAAAGTAACTATTCGCATGCTGAGTTCAGGAAAAATTCTACTTTGATGATACATGCCATAGTGGAACCTATTTCAAAATAGGTCTCGTTGCTTCAATCATACGGAGACACATGGAAATCTGAAACCAGGCAAGATCGTGGCTGCTGACGCACGGAACTCAGGAAAAATGTCGAATTTCCAATATGTTGGAATTTTATTTTTTTTTAGTGGGGGGGGGGATATTTATTGGGGACGTTATGTCTTCAAAGAATTTTTCACATCGTACCGAATCAGGCAGAAATATAAAAGTAACAGCCGACGCATGCATAACGAAGCACAAGTGCAATTTCCAGTGACATGGTCGCATTTCGCCCCATTTTGGCAGAGGCAACGAGACGAGCATCCCTCGCCAAATGTTCCTTCCGGGCAAGGCTCGGCGCAACTAAGCAGGAAAACGAACACGTCATTTCACATTTTGCACATAAATTACTATCCGGAAGATTCGAAAGATGATATGGGATGCAGAGTTCAGAAAAAATCCAACATTGGAGGTACATGCCCTGTGGATACACATTTTGGGGGGGAAACGTTTTTCTTAAATATAAAGTGTGACAGATGAGGATGGCATTCAGAGAGCAAATTGAATGTCATAGATTCGGTGGCGTAGTACGTGGTAGTAGCATAACTGACCAACAATCAGGAGGTCGGGGTTCAATTCCCGGCCATTACTTGGCTTTCTTTTGGCTTGTTTTGCCTTCCATGTCCCGTTACTCATTCCCCCTTCATAACATTACTTTCTTCTTGAGTAAAACAGAGAGTCATGAAAAGCTGAATACTGGCATGGACGAGCCTACCGAGACGATGAGTTCAGGAAAAATGTAAATGTAAGTTCTATGCCCTGCGGGGGCATATTCTTAGGGGCCGACGTTTTCATGTATTTTTTTTGCCCTGGCTCATTGGGCTGGGGTGGAAAGATGAAACTTGACACGTATCTACCTATTGGGATGCTGCATGCAAAAATTCAGATTTGCAAGTAAATGCCCCGGGGGCACAAATTTCAAAGGGAGATGTTTTCATATCATTTTTTGCATGAGTTAAAATGATGAACTTAGGAAGCTGAAACTTTGCATGAATGTGGCTACTGAGACAAGAAGTTAAAAAAATGTTAAGTCTAGATACATCCCCTAGGGAATTTTTTCGTGGGGCGATGTTTAAAATAACAATTTTGCTAGGCGAATTGCACCGAAATGGAAAGGTGAAACTTGGCACACCTATGATTGACAATATAATTGACTTGAGGGAGTATTCAGCTTTCATGGTGCATCCCCTCCGGGCATATCTTTTGGGTGGGCCGGCTTTTCCAAGCAGGTTTTTCCACCAGCGAAAAGGGCAATCGTTGAAACATTCTGGGCATGCAGTTCTCTGAGGATTGATTTCGGTAATAAAAAAAAAAAGGAATTTCCCGTTAAAACGCCTCAGGGCACATGTTTTGCAAAAGTCTTCTTTTTTCGATCCAGTAAAACGGAGGGCGCTAGAAAGTTTATTATTGGAAAAGAAGAACCGGATGGATAGCTGTGTAAATAAAAAATTATACTTTTATTATATATATAAGATCGTGAGTAGCTGACTGAATGACAAAAGCAACTATTCGCATGCTGAGTTCAGGAAAAATTCTACTTTGATGATACATGCCATAGTGGAACCTATTTCAAAATAGGTCTCGTTGTTTCAATCATACGGAGACACATGGAAATCTGAAACCAGGCAAGATCGTGGATGCTGACGCACGGAACTCAGGAAAAATGTCGAATTTCCAATAAGTTGGAATTTTATTTTTTTTTAGTGGGGGGGGGGATATTTATTGGGGACGTTATGTCTTCAAAGAATTTTTCACATCGTACCGAATCAGGCAGAAATATAAAAGTAACAGCCGACGCATGCATAACGGATGCGATGTTGATTTAAGGAAAAATTCAACTTTTGATGCGCGTCCCCTCAGAGCACAGCTTTTGAGTGTGTGTGGCTTTTCCAAGTATATTTTTTTCCGCCAGCAAAAGAGGAACCGTTTAAGGCTGAAACTGGGTGGCATAGAGTTCCCTGAGTCTACATTTCAGAAGAAATAAAATTTTCGTTAAAACCCATCAGGGAACTTTTTTCAGTTTCATTTTCCTGAATTTTTTTTTTCATCCAACGAAAGAAAGATAATTTAAATTTCCCTCAGAAGTACCTGTTTGATTGCTGAGTACAAGAAAAATCCTAAATTTGAAATATGTCCCATTAACATAGATTATAGGAGGGAAGTAATTCAAAATGTATTCTCCACCCTTACAAAAAGGGACACATTAAAAGATTTCAAATTAGACGCACTTGCAATCATAGAAGTTATGATTTTGATTAAAATCAAGATATTCGTTCTCATATGTCAGATATTTCAATGGGGAGTACTTAAAATACATGTTTGCCATTTCGCAAAGAATTAATTAATTAATCACAGTATAAGGTAATGGAGCGCTGAAGGCGCGACCAATAGGCTAGTTTAATATAAATGTAAAAAATATATGGAATTCGTTTATTATTGTTTCATCGTTGTTTTATTCGCAGATGAGTGTATTTCTTTAATACATACCACCGTCCTGTAGGCATGTCTGTGACGAGTCGAATATCTGCTGCAAGTATTTAGCCAAAGGAAGCCGCATCTCGAGGTTGTCCGATATTGATACGGTTCCCAATATGACTCCAATGCTGTCGTCTCTTTTCTGAAAGAAACCGATTCGCGTGAGTAGGGATAACGAACTCGAAATGAACGTGATTTGACTCACTTTTACTGTGTGCTGAGAGAAAATTGTGCGAATCTTTGCATCCGGCTACAGTATGTGCATGCCGTCTTCAATTTGAAATGAAATCTTCTTCGGCATTTTTAGGAAGGTTTTTTTTTCAACGCGCGATTAATAAACGAAAACAGCAGATGAGTTCTCTTCGATAATGGTTAGTCTCTTTAAATTCTTATGGAAATTAATCAATGAAAAAATGCATACTTGCTGAAATGCACACAGTCTTAAGTGTGACTTATTTATTGATTCAGATAAATACTTCAACAGCGGTGAATTTATTTCTCGCACCTAGTATAGTCGTAGTCACAAATAAATAAAGCATTTTTTAATCAGTTACTTTTTTTACATTTCTTTTAATACAATAATAGGTGAATTATCCGATTTTCATAAACTTTCACAGACGACGTTGGCGGTCAAAATTATGAAATATCATTTAACTTCACATGTATTTCATTCAAATAGCGCAAATTGTGTTTGCCCCGTTTTCTCGATTTTATGTTGCCCTCAATTCTCATACCAGGTGGCGCAAAAGAAGTTCCGAACTTTCCATCCTTGTAGACTGTGTGCCATATGAGTTATTGAAAGGAAATTTACAGGTTTTTATAGGCAAATGTTTGCATATTATGTAACAGAAATTTCATTGAAATTTTCCAAAAGCCACCTACATCCGAGTGGGTGTCATAAAAGATTCCCTAATATGTTGCTCCAAACTTATTTGTTTTAGCAACTAAGATATTAAACAGGCAGATGGCGTTCGCGTTCGCGAGCATCCCGAGACGGAAAGGAACTTTGAAAGTGCAGAACTTCCCTCACTCACGTGTCAAACCGATGGCACACGTTCGGGCCTCTCAGGCCCGCAGCGGCGCGGAGGAGGACGAGGGAGGCGAGGAGGCAGGGTCCGTTCATCATGGCGAAGGTACTGGCTCCTTTTCGATCCCTTTTTCTTACTCTTGAGACAGCGAGCGAAAGCTTGATGTGGACTGAGTCTAGGAAAATGCATAGAAAGAAACTAAATTTCAAATTGTACACTATCATATATTTATCTCATGCAGACACCCACACACGCATGCACCCACTCAAACTTGCACTACATAATTTTTCAAAACCAGAAAATTCCCCCTAAAATTCCGAAAAACATCCCCGAGATTTGGAAATTTTCCCTAACTCTTGAACGAGGGCCTCATTTTCCAACGTTTTCCACTTTTTTTCAACTAAATGCCATGAGCGAAAAATCATCTTCAAGGGTGGAAGAGTACTTTTTATCCCCACGAAGCTCATGAGGGATTTTTCTTTTTCTAGAATTCGCAGAATCTCAACAGTGATTTGTTTGCCATCACTCTTCAAGTTCAGCTGTTATGAGAGGAACTTTTGTGGGAAAATACTTACATCACTGTAAATTAGGATGCCCCCTCCCAGAAGTAAATTGATAAAAAGTTATTCGACATCCAATAATCGTCAAGGAAACAGAATTTAATATTGACTCGATATCCATCTTCTTATCCTTTTCACTATTGGTCTCCTCCTGCGCTTTTTGTGTTAATATGTTGAACCTTCGAACGGAAAACCTTAGGCTCACCTCACTCCGGATTAAAAAAAAATCTGATATTCCTATGGCTACTGAAAACCCAATTGCTGCAGAATAAAAGAATTGATGGATGAGGTCGGAAAAGGCAACGGAAAGAGGACAGAAAGAGACTAAGCGAGGCGCCACAAAATGGACCTCAACAAACTGGGAATAGAGAGATTGAATGACTTCTCAGGGTTGTCAGGTGGAGTCGATCACAGCTGACAAAGCAGTTTAGATATTTCAGGGAAATCACGCGACGGTACGTCTTCCTCATCTGACGTGCGACGCGGCATCCTGTCCATGCATTTTTGCATGGAATACTTTGGGATCATTCCTCATCTCTAATTATTACCGTTATATATATTACTTCTACTGCCTTAAAGACCTGAAAGGTATTCCGTAGTCTGAATATACATTTATTGTGCCGAATGATAGCATTAAGCAAGATCCGAACATAAGACAACATTCTCCGTCCTAGGATGTTTCATCCACCCATGCCACAAGCGGTCGTAGTGGCTGTATGTGGTGCCATCGACTTTCCTCTCATTTTGACCTAACACCCTGAAGACACCGGGTGGCTGCCACCGCGCCTTTCGGGAAAATACGAAGTTTGCATAGATTCCTTAATCCGCAAGCACAGTTTAAAATGGGCATCCCTAGTTCGGCTCAGAATCACGAGGTAATAAAAAAAAACTATAAAACCACCGTTTTTTGTCTCGGAAGTGTCGAATGCGAACCACTTCACCCCTCTCAACGCCGAATTCGCAGCAGCCAATGCACTCCGACTGGTCGTGAGGGAGGAAAATGGACTGCCCGTGGGGGGAGGTGGAGGGGGTTAGGACCACGTGCGGACTGCAATCGATCCGTCCACGAGAGGAAGCCATTATCGCTATCGGTAGCACCCAGACTTTGTTGCCGACCGACATCCCTTTCCTCCGGACTCATTTCCAGGAAAGGAACTCGGCCTTCAAAAAGTAATGAGCCACCCATTATATCCACCTATTATATCCATTATATCCAAATAACCACCCATTATATCCATTATACAGGCGAAGCGTTGCATAAATATCGAAGTCTCTCTCCCCGCCCCCCAGACTCGCCGGATCTGGGGCAGGGGGCAAGTGGGCAAGCGGGCAAGGGGAGGGGCGCTTGGTCCTACAAGCCAACCATCTCTTTCATTCATAATGTGAAACTAGTAAACGCTGTGAGTCCATTTTAGGCTCAGAATAAGTTACATTGAATGTGATTTGACCTTACGTATTGGATGATCGATAACAGCAACTAAGCCGTTTTTGAGCTTTCCAACAAAAGTGAAATAACAGTGCATGTAACTTAAATTATCCAATTAGCATTGTTATTTGGAAGGGAAATCGTATTCAGTCGCTACGCATTTCCTGGTTGGATCGGAGAATAGACCTTCCTCATTGCAAGGCCCCAACCATATTGCATTATTCGATATTTTCCTCACTATGCCTCACTATATATCGAGAGCCAGCCTGAATTCTCCATTGGACCCGTTTGCTAATAGACGCCGTGCTGCCATTTCTGGTGGGAAAGCTTCACTATATTGTATCAACATTCTTAGACAAATTTCCATGGTACAATATAGAGAGTTTGCAGTGACGATTCATATCGTGGAACATAGTCATACGTTTCCATGCGCAGGTCCTTGAATACTGAAGTCACCGATGAAACTCGTTCGTTCCCTGCTAAAGAAGGAAAAGAGACTTCGCCTTCACTATCTGCCTTTCTCGCCTTTCTCGCCTTTCTTCTTCCTTTCCTCCCCTGTCTTACCATGAATTCCTTGAGGAATAATGTTCACTCCTGCTTATCACATCCGTAGAGGCGGTTCTCATTTGTTAGCACATTGAATGACAATCAAGTTGGTTTAGAAAATTAGATGAGAAAAAGGTATGGGGTTCGGAGCGACAAGAAGGTCGTTTTCTTCTATTTCACTCTTTTCCATGCCATCCAGCGTGTGCGGCGAAAAAGTTCGGTCTGTAAAGCTCCTCGACATTCCTTGTTTTATTCTGACGGCTTCATCAGTCTTCTCCTTGCATTCATACTTCTGCGTATTTGGATGTCACTTGAGTCTGTTCTTGGGTCATGCTTTTGAGTCCTGTCTTTGGGATCTAAGGATACTGTCGCATCCGCATCCCTCGATGCGGATGTGACATTATCCTGTGTGACATGTGAGGCCACTGAATGAACTCAATCGACTGGTATCAATCGAAATTTGCAATCGATCTTGCAGTTTTCTATATACTGAGATCTAGTATAAGTTACTAGTACTTCCTGACGTACTTCGCATTGCTATCTAGCAGATCAACGAGTGGACAACATTGATATTGGGTACTATAGAACCCCTGACCGATAGAATTTGGTGAGGTTTTTGGGTTTCGAACCCTGCCATAACAACAGGAATTACTACTGAATGGAAGGACCAAGGTGGTTTAAATTGGTGCTCCGTTTGATTGCATCTTGTATCTTCAGTACGAGTCCTGCCTACGCTAGTATGGCTAACCATCCCCATGGACGGGATGGCGTGTCCGCGAGCTCACTTCCTTCCATGGAGAGAGAATGATCATTCTACAAGCAGCATAAAAGAAATTACAAGCAGAACCTATTTACTACACCTTCTTACTGAAACCATTTTCGATTTAACCCGGGATCCTTTCTTGTATACCACATTCACTTGGGAATATGGGCTAATTTCTGGTCTGTACTCCATGATTTTGTCTGGAATATGAAGATTGCAGATAAGGAAGTGTCCAAGTTTATTGATTGCTACAATGAGGCAAGGCGGGGAGAAATGGGGAGAGAGGGAGAATGGGGAGAAACAAAACACTCCTGTGAGAGATGATTCTCTGGATAGAGGGATCTGCACTTTTATGTACTTTGAGAAATGCAAAACCCATACCTCCATCTTGTGTCCTAGAGGAGAACTTCGACATTTTCCCTAAAAACTTTCCAGTGCAACGTAGGCACATTGAATCTTCCCATTGGTCCGATAATGGATCATTGATGCAATATTGGGAAGCCAATATTTACCCAATATTGGCTATATTGGACAAAGGTGTAACCAACGTGCCCAGTGTTGGTCCAGTATTGAGCCAATATCTTGCGTTACTGGGGTGGGGATAGAGCATTACAATAAGTGACATTACAATGTTGCCCAACGTTCAGCCAGTGTCGAACTTCAGAGTTCACCTGTGTAATGGGATAAGCGACAATTAAATGTGGAATTAATATGAGATGCAATGCCCCCACGACGCTGGGAAGGTTCAAACGTAGCGTTCATGCAATGCCGATTGAATATTCGTTTGTTTCCTTGGTCCTTCCCCTTCCCCCCACACATTGACGGATGGAGAAGGGATTATGGAAACGCGTTTCTATAAATAATTCTTGTCTCCCCCTTCTGCTCTAACAGATGTGATCCATCACGGACTAACGTGATTCTCATAGAAACCTAATAAATCCTGTAGGAAGCCTAATATACGTATATACGTCCTTAGGCAATAATAATTCGGATAATCGCTTGAAAAATGTGAATTCCCTAAGCTATAACTGCAGCACTTCACATAAAACTATTATTTACTCCTTCACAAGCCTTAAAAAATTGCAACATTGAAAAGGGAGAGATTTAAACGAAGAATAATAAATGAATAACATGATAGATATCTCGGTTTAATAAAACCATGGCATCCGAAAATACCAATAAGCAGAAGAGAGACACGATCTAAGTTATGGAAGGAACTTCAGACTTGCCCCTCAGGACTTCACGATATGAGGAAGCGGAGGCGATGAGAGCAACGAGGGTCACGCGGACAGATCAGCGTGGCCATCGTTCGGGTGCTCGTCTACATGACGGTCTGGTTTGAAAGCATGAAAATTCTTTAAATTCTTAAATTCTTTAAATTTTAAATTCTTTAAATTCTCTGTGAACTACGGCACGACGTGCCTACCAATAGGTGATTGTCACTGATTTACACGTAGCTCGACCTACACTTCTGCTTCGGCAAAGGGAAAGATCTGACCAAATTATGATCTGATGAGAAAGAAACTGAACTCATCATCGAAGAACTGAATCAAAGAACAGGTCTAAATATTTTGACAATTGCATGTACTCTTCGATAGAACTATTTTTTTAATTTGCCCAAAACTAATTATTCAGTCTGGAAGTCTCACATTGTGAAGGGCCATTAACCCCAATGGAAATATTCCCCCAAGTTCATTCATGAAAAAAAAGTATTGCAACGACTCCATTGGGCTGACTGCTATGCTAAGAGTTAGTATTTAGAATAAAATTGGGTTGAAAAATGGAGGAAAACCTCATATGAGTGAATGGGGACTGAGAGCTCAACGAGTATGGCTTCCAATTGCAGCACGCATGCCTATGCCGTACCTACGTTTGCACCATCTCCAGTTTTTTCTCCACTCAGTGGCTCTGACAACCATAAGTATACGATGTGTGGAGTGAGGCCTTTTACATTCGGAAACG